AATAGTCCAGTGCTGGCTAAAACACAATGCATACACAATATATGTTAAGAAACCCTTAAACAAAATATGGTGAAGTATCAGAAACAATTTCTAAATAGTAACACTGGCTAAATTAATGACAACACATGTATATATATACATATAAAATATGGAATATAATTGAGCACTGAGAAATAATAACATGGGTCTATGTCTTTGGTAATAGAATGATGCTCTCAATATATTTGTAGGAGAGAAAGTACAACTCAAATAGAAAGTTAAAAATGATGCATTAAAATATATTTTTCCATAGATGTATGTACCAATATTTAGCAAAATTATATTAATAGTGATTATATTAATATATGAATCATAAGATAAGTGTATTTTTGTAATAATTTCAATATTAATTATCTAACATTTATTCAGTGAACATGATTTACACAAAAAAGAATAAATAAAAACCTTAAACAAAAGGTATGGTCAAACACCATTCACTACTATTTCTGTTAGTATGAGAATTCAAGAGATGAATGATCTCAGGTTTTTCTCATCTGAAAATATTTTAATTTTGTCTTAATTTTTTAAAAGATAATTTTGTAACTATAGAATTTTTGGTGGCAAGGATTTTTTTCAGAACTTTAAAAATTCCCTTCTATTGCTATCTTTTTTCAATCTTTTGAGAATTCATCTGAAATTTTCATTGTTGCTCCTTTAAATATATCATGCCTTTATCTGTGGCTCTTTTAAGATTTTCTTTTGTCTTTTGTTTATTTTCAGAATGTTTATTATCTTGTGTCTATGTATGGCTTGCTTTGCATATATACTGCTTGGGATTTTCTAAGCCTCTTGAATATGTGAATTTTGGTGGTTATGGAAACATTTCAGCTATTATCTCCTTCAATATTATTTCTACCCCATTTTCTCTCTCCCCTCCCAGTATTAGATAGTTTGAGTGTGTGTGTTATGTTTCTTATGCTAATTTATTATTTTTGGCACTATTTTTCTTTCTTTCTCACTTTTATTTTTGTTATGTCTATCAATCTACTTTCTAGTTCACTGATCTTCTTCTGCTCTTTAAAGTCACCTGTGTAACTCTTCCATTTAATATCACATAATGATGTCTTTTGGTTTTATAATACCCATAATATTCAGTTCTAAATTTTTCAGATCCTAACTCTCTGGATAAATTCTTCATACTTTCAAGTACTTTCAGCCTATTTTGTACTTTTTGAGAACATATTCATAAAATTCTATAATCCTCGCCTGTTAACTCTGATTACTGGGTCATCTG